GGGGATGCTGAGTGCACACCTGATCCCGGGGGGGCCGAAGTGCTGGGCACGGCCGGTGAGTCCTGCAGGAGCTGGGGACAAACACAGCTGTTCCCCATTTCCCTGAGGGCACCTGGAGCTGATAGGCACTCTATGTGCCCTTGCACAGCCTCCCTATTTTCGGAGGCTGGCACTGGATCTGAGAACCTGGCATGGTCCTGCAGTTGGTAGGACCAGACTCTGGGGTGGAAATCTCACTGTTTATCTTCCCGGGAGCTTTGACTCAATAACTGCCATTAGCCCAAGCAGCCCTTGCGTTACACTTTGCCCTCGGCCTGACCTTTGCAGTTAACCAGTAACTGCCATGCCGCTGCTGCCGAGCGGGACATGAGGGCAAGGTGAGCTCGGAGCCCTCTTCCCCTTGCCCAGACACCTCTGCCCTGGCCTGCTGGCCTTTGCTAGCCCCAGCCCAGCTCCATGTACCATTTATCTGCTCCTAGATCTGCTCTCTAGGGTGGGCATTTCCTCCAGAGAGACTTGTCCTTGTGCCGAAGCCTGACACAGCACTTTTGCAATAGGAATACACGCCCCTGTGGGTATTTAGAAATGCCAAATAGATAAATTAACATTTATCACACCTGGCATGAATCAGCTTTGGTGTGTGGAATGGCCATGCAGGGCAGCACCAAGGCTGGCCATGGAGAGGGAGGGCAGAGCCCAGCACTCACCGGACACAGAGCAGGCCTCCACCTGGGACACGATGCCCGTGCCGTTCTCCTTGTCTGCGCGCCACCGGTAAGTGTAGAGGGACGTGTGTGTGGAGCCAGCGTCAAACACCAGGCCATACTGGGGAGGAGAGAGGACACGGGGTGTCAGGGGAGCAGACCAGAGTCACCTGCTGCAGAGTGAGGGAGAGAAGCTCCAGGAGAGCCATCAGAGCTCCTGGTGGGCAGGGGAGCCTAGAATGGCCAAACAAGACTGGTGCTCACCAGGACAGAAAAAGTCTGGTGGCATTGCAGTTACCAGCTATGTTGGGGACAAAGATCCTTCCCAAGCCCCTGGAGCTGGCAGTGCTTTGGGATGAAAAAGCTGCATGTGCTGTGGGGCCAGGCACAGTGACCAAATTCAGCCAGACCTGCTCCAGTCTGTGCAGGGCATTGTCCCCATGTTGGTGACAAACAGCACAGCCTGCCTGAAACCCAGGCAAAACCCAACACCCAACGGTAGCCAGCAGCCAAGTGAGAGTATGCTCTTCCTGAGGACCCTACCTTGGTGCTGGGGGGCAGAAGCACATCCTCCACATTCACCACGCTCAGAATGAGGGCGATGATGCTGCAGACGCAGGTGGCTGCCAGGAGACCGGCAATGGCCTTGGCTTTGGAGCCCATTCCTCCTCCAACCTGCAGGGACAGCCCCAGCCCCCAGCTCACACCTCATGCATGGCTATGGGACTTTCCCTTCCCAGAAATGAAGCCTTTCTCTAGTACATGGCTGCTCTTACCATGGAAGAGGATAATATCCACGGGCTCCTCTGGACCCATCCCAGTGGGGGTGTTGGCAGCCTCAGGGCTGGGACACTCTGCCATTCTGAGCACTCCCTCCTTGGCGGATTTCCAGTACAACTTGTTCAGCCCTGCCTTCTCACCTGCAGCCCCTCAGGTCCCTCTGTGCCCAGCCCTGCTCAAGCTGTTCCCTGGCTGGCAATCAGCACCTTCCTTCACAGCAGCATCACTGGGGGAAGACCAGCCATGGCTAGCTGGAGTTCCAAGCTGGGAGCAGGATTGTGGCCTGGCAGGGTACCAGTGTGACCATCCTCTCTGGGGTGCAGAGCCACATCCCTCCAGCACCCACATGCTGCCACCTCAAAACCCATCCCACAACACTTGGGACCAGGTCCCATCTGTTGCCCAGCAGGCCCAGATTGTCCCTGAGAGAGTCCTCTCTGCTTCAGGCAGGGAATCAGCACCTGCAGCTGTGTGTCTCCTGCCTGGCCCAGCTCTTGCTGATGCCACAGCATGTAAGAGATGCACAGGGACAGTGTCCATGCCTGCTGTGATCCCCACACTTCTCCTGCAGCCCCAAGGGCAGGCAGGAGGGCAGAGGCAGGAAGCTCCTGCTGATCAGGGCACACAGCCAGGCTGGAATGCCCACAGCACTGCCCTTGGGGACTGGAGCACTTCCCACTTGTCCATCCAGAGCTCAGCTCCCAGCAGAAACAGCCCCCAGGTACTCTAAGGAATTGTAGCAAAGCAAAGAGTCTGGTTCTCTGTGACAGCCTCTGCACAGGGCAGCTGAGATATCCATGTGCTCAGCACCTCACAGCTGGTCCAGATGTGCTTTTTGCAATGCACAGCTCTCCCTCCTCCTCCTGCACTGCCCTGCCCGGTGCCTTGAGCCACACAGGCAGGATGCCTGCTGCATCCTGCCGAGGCTGACCTCGCTTCACACTCCAGCTGAAACCTGCGGGTGGCCTGAGAGCCCTGGGCACCAGAAGCATTGTTTAACCCCACCAGTGCTTTGGGTGGAACCTGGAGCTGTCACTTGGCTACACAATTCTCCTGTGAGTGCATAAAGTCCCTGAGAAATTCCCCTGCCCTTTTCCCAGGCCAGTGGAGAGAGAAGACCTTTGGCAAGTTCAAAGGAGATGCTGATTCCTGTTTTGGAGTCATCATCTCTGGCAATGAGCAAGGGTAACCAATCTCCTGCATGGCATGAGATGCACAACAATGAACAGCAGCTGTTCTTTGGGCCCATGGGATATGGGGCCACCAAAATCCCTTATCAGACCTTGTCCTATAGCCAGGAGCCTTCCCTCTACAATGGCTATGAAGAGATTGTATGGAATCCTCTGATAAATCCTTGTCATAGAAACAGGGAATCATTGAGGACCTCTTTGAGATATTAAAGTGGTTATCGATTCAAAGTTATCTCAGACTCAAATCATTAACCCAGCACCACCAAGAAAACCACTTAATTATGTCCCCAGTTGTCATATCTGCAGTCCCAGCAGCCCTGCTGGGGTTTGCCCAGTTATAACTGGGATGTGATTCATCTGCTCCAGGTAACAAACAAAGCAATGGGAAAAGTCTGCAGCCCAGCCTACATCCTGGAAAGCTCTGTCCCACGCACTGTGAAATGGTAGGACACGAATTGGTGACAAATTGCACTGTGCTGAATGCAGGAGAGGGTGGGAAATGGGCTCCTCCTGCTCTGCTAGGGACTAATGCCCATCCTGACTGGACAGGGGGCATCACCCAAAGGCAGCACAGAGCCAGCTCTCCCAGGCAGGAGAACAGGGCACAGAAAGGGAGCCCAGTGGGTGGGAAACAATGTGAGAAGCTGATCGATCTGCCCAGGCTTTCTGTGGCATCCCGGGGCTGGGCAGCTCCAGTACCTGCTACCATTCATGCAGGATCAGGAGCAGCAGGACAGGAGAGTGGTGCTGATGCCTCCAGAGCTGCAGAGGAGGCACGATGCTGCACAGTGCCTGCCCATTTCCAGATGTGCAAAGTTTCCAGCTGTGCCCAGCAGCTGGAGCAGGGCAGCACTTGATGTGCAAGGCTGGCCATGAAGACAAGCTTGTCAAAAACCTGTGGGACATCTCTCACTTGCAGCATCCCTTGTGCACAGGGAGCAGGGCCTCGAAAATTGGGGCAAAAGGCTCAGAGCCACTGCTGGATCTAAACTGCCTGTTGCTCAGGACAATGGGGGGGGGGGGGGGCTGACTTCCCACTGGGATTTGAAAGCCAAAAGGGCTCTGAAGGTTCTAAGAGGGTGACTGTGGATGCCAGGAGCATCCTTGCCAGGCAGAGCAGTTCCCTGCATCCACCTCCCACCAGCGCTGGGGCTTGGCAGTGCCCTCCGTGCCTGGTCTCTGTGCCCTCCGTGCCCC